TATATATATATATATATATATATATATATACATATATTTTGTGTGTGTAGGGGTTGGTTCAAATGTTAACCATGATTATTGTGTTAACTTTATTAACCAGTCTTGGCCTTATTATAATAAACGGTTGCGATTAATCATGATAAAAAATTAATTTTTTAAATTTACAATTTCAAAAAACATATATGAACAAAGGGGAAAAGGATATTTAGGTAAAAAAAATTATATAACTCCCATATCATTGATTGGAGTTACAAAATCAAAAATCCTCATTATTTTTGTTAATTTATTTTTATTAATGTAAGAACCATATGAACACATCTATATATATGAACCATGTGTCAAATACGAACAAAAAATTGACATATGAACGTGGACTGCATAACATTTATGAACAGAATATGAACATAATAAGAATAGTTGTTACACGAAAGAAAATAAATAAAAAACATGTATGAACATAATATGAACAACTTGTGAACAATAGTTCCTTCATTATGAACACATTCAGAAGCGAACAAATATTGAAATATCCAGCTAGTGTATATATGAATACAATATGGACACTTGTGAACAATAGTTCCTTCATTATGAACAAATTCAGGAGCGAACCAATGTTGAAATATGCAATTGGTGTACATATGAACACAATATGAACAGCTTGTGAACAATAGTTCCTTCATTATGAACACATTCAGGAGTGAGTCAATGTTAAGATATGCAGCTAGTGTACATATGAACACAATATGAACACTTGTGAACAATAGTTTCTTCATTATAAACAATTTGTTTATGCATAATAGCTTGAACGATACCGAAAACTTTACTATCGGGTCTCTTATACCAATCACAAATTCAATAACATTATAGATAGAAAAATCAATATTATAAAAAAAAAATATCAATAATAAATTAACAAAAATTATAAATTCAATATTAGATGTCTTGATTCATGTCCCTACTAGAACATATATGAACACACCTGAACGTATATGAACACTAGTTGTAGTCTATGGCAAGTCAAGCATCACAAGCAGCTGATGGAGCCGAATGGTTATCATAATTGGGTTGCATAACAAATTAAGTTGACGATGAACTCATTCCATTTGAACATATGAATTGGGTTCGTAGTAATAATTAAAGAAAAAGTTACCAACACAATATGAACTATAAAAAAAGCAAAAACTTCATAATCAACATAATTTCGATTAAAACGAATACAATAACATATTAATCCATTATTAATAAAAACGTTTTGATTATTGTCTTCACTTCTGGAACTCGAAGTCCAATTGTTATCGTAAACCATTTTAACCTTACCATTGTTGTCGAGTTGTTTTCCAATGGATTTATCCATATTAACTTGAATGACATCGAAAGCTTTACTATCGGGTCTCCTTTAACAATCACAAATTCAAGAACATTATAGATAAATAAATCAATATTATAAAAAAAAAGATCAATAGTAAATCAACAATAATTATGGGATTTTTTGATTTTGTAACTCCCAATTAATGATATAGAAGTTACATACAAACTAAAATTACATATTTACCCTTGTCATTAAATTATGAGATGGATATGAACCTAGATAAAGATGGATTTTCATTAGTTGAGCTTGGTTAACAAAGTTAACACAATAATCTTAGTTAACATTTGAACCAAGCTCTATGTATGTGTGTGTGTATATATATATATATATATATATATATATATATATAC